GAGATTAAAATATAATGATATAAAATATAAAAAATACTTACTCGACCAGTAGCAGATACTCTGCCGTGGATTCCCCCTAACAATATTGGCTTGCCAGTGACACATGCCCAGGCATGAAGATCATGGCTGCCTAGAAAGTGTAATCAAGAATGTTATGTCGGGAAAACTGTAAATAGATTTTATAAAGTCAGAAATAGAAACAACTATTAGCTAAATTAATCTATAACACATATTTTATTGATCAAATCCTAAAGGTAAATAAAAGAAAATAAAACGAGGCAAAAATCGAAAATTAGTTTAATCCATTACCAACAGTTGTAGCGTAGGTATCAGCAATCCAAGCCATTTCTCTTTCCCCGGTGCCCATATCGGGAGCAGGAACATCGACGCCAGGACCTGGACAATTAAGAAAAGGACAATTATCAAAAGTATAATTACTAATTTATATATTTTTTAAAACGTACCAATAAAGCCTTTTTTAGCCAACTCTAGACAGAACCTTCGTGTGATACGTTCGATTTCGGAATCTGAATAGACCTTAGGATCAATCCGAAGTCCAGCTTTAGCCCCTCCAAATGGAACATCAACAACGGCACATTTATAGGTCATGAGAGAAGCAAGTGCCATCACTTCGCCTTTATTTACATCAAGGCTGTAACGAATGCCACCTTTGGTTGGGGTACGATGAAGACTATGCTGTGAACGCCAACCCTGAATCATTTCATAACGACCATTATCACGTTTATGTGGAAAGTTGATTTCTAGCGTGTGGTTACATGGCTTTATCATGTCTAGAATACCCCTGACTTTATGTTTTTTTTGATCCAAGGAGTCACGGCCCTTAATTTCATCAACAAGCTTTGCCTCCATAAGCACAGATGCTTTATCAAAAAATCCAAGCACCATTTCGTGAAATGGTATTGTATCAGTATTTGTTGAGTACCGTGCAGGCATGCAATTTAGAGCGCAAGGTTGAAGTTTAAAAGAAACGAATGGCCGGTGGGAAATTAATTTGGATAGCATGATGACTAAAAATAAAAGCAAAAAAAAAATAAATTCATTCAATAATTATGGGTATTTTAGCTTTAAGAAATATTACATATCAAAGGGTAAAAAGTAGAGCAAGACCAGATCAACGATAAACGCGTGACTCCAAGTCAAGCAATTAACTTAATAAACAGATGGCTTGACAAAACAAACATTAAATAAGTTAAATTAACTTTTTGAATGGTAAATTAAAAATGCTTTTATTATAAGTTTAAGATTTTTTGTATTTTTAATGCATAATTCAAATTTGCGCATAATATTAATACTATCATATAGGTAACAATAGCGCTTAGTAGATCGAGCTCAAACTTTTATCCTATACACCAAATTTGTTTAATAATTATACTTAAGATTAATTGACTGTGTCTTGCTTCGCTTTATACTTAAGGTTTTTTCGGGTAAACTAATTTAGGATATTTTAATATACGTTGGAGA